GGGCAGAGCTCAGGAGGCGGGGAGCAGGTGTGGGGGCAGCCTGAGGCCCCGAGGGCTGTGGGCAGGGCCCGTGGGACAGCCAGGCTGTCACTGCTCGCCTCTGCCTTCCCTGGGGCCCGGCCTCTCTGCCTCCTCTCCCGCCCTCCCTCCCTCGTCCCTCCGGTTCTTTACAAAGAGCCCCTTCCCACCGGCTGTGGGCCACCTCCCACGCCCGGATCTGCCCGCGCCCCTGGCGGTCACCCCGGAGCCTCACGGTCGCCCCTGAGCCGCTGGCAGGCCGAGCAGCTGGCGGCACGTCAGGGAGCCGCCTGCCTCCCGGCTGGTGAGAGGTGCCACCCGTGTCACCTGCTGACCCGGCCGGGGCCGGCGGGCGGTCTCCGGGCCCCGGGTCCCGGGGCTGGCTGGCGCGAGCAGTGGCTCTGCCGCTGAGGGCCGGGCCGGGGGCTCACCTCGGCCACGATGGTGGAGGAGAAGGTGCTGCGGTCGTACACCCAGCCGTCCGCGCACGGCTCCGTGGCCGCCTCGCTCCAGTTGGCGGCCGTGGCGTTGGGCGCCAGGAGCTGCCACTGCGGGCTGCGGAAGCGGCGGCAGGGGTGGGGCCCGGGGCCGGGGCCGGGCGGGATGGCCGCGGCCAGCAGGGCGTCGGGGCCCGGGGCGCCGGGCGCGCCCGCCCGGGCGGTGCTGTTGTCCAGCAGTGGCACCCAGCAGCGGTGCGCGGGCACGGCCGCCGAGAAGTTCTCCAGCACGTTCTGCGTGGTCAGCCACATGATGGGCACGGCCAGCGCCACGGCCTGCAGCAGCTGCAGGCGGCCCAGGCTGCCCACGCGCTCCAGGAGCTCCGCGAAGGCCATGGTGCTGCCCGGGGGCCGGGGGCGGCCGGCGGCCCAGGCGTGCAGCCCCCCCGCCGGGCGGGCCGGCAGCTGTCACTCCGGGCGGCTCCCGCCGCTGGCGCCTCCTCGGCCGTGAACTTGAGACGGCAGTCACCCGGCTGGAACGGAGCGGGCCAGGTGGCTCCTCGGGAAGACGGTCAGCGAGCGTGTCCCCGTCAAAGTTTAACCCGGCGTGAGGGCGCCTGCCGGCCGGGCCCTGGCGGGTGTGGGCCGGGCTCTGCCTGGTCTGCAGCCGCCCCTCGCACCCGGTCTGCCTCGCTGGATCCTCCTGACCGTGGGCTGGCGGGAGCCTCAGCGCATCCGTGCACCGAGGACCTGTGTGTGCGCAGGTGTGTGCGTGTGTGTGCGTGTGTGCGTGTTTGCACGCACGTGTGCACATGTGCTTGTGTGCATGTGCGTGTGTGTGTGTGTGTGTGTCCCGGCCTCATGAACATCTCCCGCCAAAGCTGAGCCCCCTTCCCCCCTGCTGCCCACGCCGCCTCCTGTGCAGGGGCCGCCCTGCCCCTCGTCCTTCCACGCCCCCACGCCCTGGGCCGGGAGTCCTGGGCCCGGCCACAGGGCACCGGACAGCCACCCGCTCCCCGCCCGGCGGCCTCGCCCGGAGCACGGCCGCGGCCTCCTCGCTGGCCTCCTGCCTCCCCCGGAGCCGGCCCAGCGGTTCTCGCACCCGGACCCCTGGGTGCCGCTCACGTCCACGGGCCCCTGCGGTGCCCGGAGCCGGCCGTGCGGCCTCCCCAGGGCGGGAAGCCACGCCGGCACCGAGGCCCCGCTCACCTGCTGCTCAGTGTCTGCTCCGCCTGCTTCCCACACTCAGAGGCCTCGCCCAGCCCGCACCCCAAACGCCCCAAACACCCAAACCGAACCGCGCTGCGTCTGGGCCCCGCCGGCCATTCCTCGGCGCAGTTCCCATGTCTGGCCGGGGCTTAGGGGAAGCAGGGGGGCGGCCGGCCCCGCGGCTCAGGGACCCGCGCGCTGGCTGAGCTCAGGCTGCTGCTCGGCCTTCGGCTGAGACTCTGACTCCCCAGCGATGGGCCTTGTCCTCCCAGAATTTATGCTTCTCGCTTAGAAATGACGATGGGTTCTTCCTGGACCGCCATGCCAGCTCTGACCCCCGCCGGCAGCGTGGCTGTGGTCGCCCTGGGCCTCCCGGAGGACCTGAGCGCTTTCCTGCGTCCGTTCGCCGAGAACGTCGCTGAGCTCCTGGCCGGGGAGCCGCCGGGAACAAGAGTCCCTGCCCGGGCTCCGTGGAAAGCAGGGCCCGGACAGAACGAGGCGCCTGCGTGCGGAGGCCTCTCTGGGGACGAGGCCCAGGGTGCCTGGGGGGGGGGGGGGGGGTACTCCGAGCACAGGGAGGAGCACGTGCCTCAGGGAGCCGTCCGGGGCCGCGTGGCAGAGTGAGTGAGCGTGAGAGAGTGGGATGGGGCCGGGCAGAGCCGGTACGGGGCAGAGACATAGAGATCTCACAGGGCTGTGGGGCGAGGAGCACGGGTTTTAGGGCGACCCCCGGCTGCTGTGTGGAGAACACGCTGAAAGGGGGGTCCCGGAGGCGGAGTGCGTCCGTGAGGGACGAGGGGATCGGGGCTGGCAGGGGGCTGCCCGGGCGCGCTGACTGGCTGCAGCGGATGTGAGCTGAGGGGAGAGCATGGCGGGCGGGCGGGTGCGGGGCGTTCCTGACGCCGGACAGGATGGGGGACCTGGCCGGCTGGCAGCTCCCGGGCGGTGGTGTTTGGAGGGAGGGGAGACGGAGGCATCGGACAGCCCGAGGGCCTGTCGAGTCCGGGACCCGGAGCTCCCCGAGGTCGGAGGCTGAGGCCTGGAGGCCAGGCTCAGAGGGTCAGCCTCGCCCGCGGAGGACAGGGCGGTGCTGAGGGCGCGGGCGGCGAGGCCGAGCTGGCAGTGGGTGTGCTGGCCGATGGGCGTGGGGTCGGGGAGACAGGCTGCAGACACCTCCCTAGGGCGGGGAGTGGGGGGCACGGAGCGGGACGGGTGTGCGTTAACGAGGGACCGCCAGCCGCCCTCACGCCCCAGGCCAGCCCGGCCGTGGGGACGAGGGCGGTGGCGTCATTCCGAGCGGAGGAGGCGAGCTGCCCGGCCTCTCCTTCTCCCGGCCTGGCGCCCGGGGCCTCCCCGGCCAGATCGCCATTCCTCCCTCCTCTTCCCCCTCCCGCCTCCCCTCCTGTCCCATGGCGACGGCAGCTGCTCCGTCCGGGCCGGTGGGAGGACGGCCGGGGAGGGAGGGCGGCCGGGCGGGGGGACGGCCGGGCGGGGGGACAGCCGGGGAGGGAGGACGGCCGGGGAGGGGGGGCGGCCGGGGAGGGAGGGCGGCCGGGGAGGGAGGGCGGCCGGGGCGGGAGGACGGCCGGGGAGGGGGGCCGGCCGGGGCGGGAGGACGGCCGGGGAGGGAGGGCGGCCGGGGAGGGGGGGGCGGCTGGGGAGGGAGGGCGGCCGGGGAGGGAGGGCGGCCAGGGAGGGGGGCCGGCCGGGGCGGGAGGACGGCCGGGGAGGGAGGGCGGCCGGGGAGGGAGGGCAGCCAGGCGGGAGGACGGCCGGGCGGGGGGACAGCCGGGGAGGGAGGACGGCCGGGGAGGGGGGGCGGCCGGGGAGGGAGGGCGGCCGGGGAGGGAGGGCGGCCGGGGAGGGGGGCCGGCCGGGGCGGGAGGACGGCCGGGGAGGGAGGGCGGCCGGGGAGGGAGGGCGGCCGGGCGGGAGGACAGCCGGGGAGGGAGGGCGGCCGGGGAGGGAGGGCGGCCGGGCGGGGAGGGAGGGCGGCCGGGCGGGGGGACGGCCGGGGAGGGAGGGCGGCCGGGCGGGGAGGGAGGGCGGCCGGGCGGGAGGGCGGCCGGGGAGGGACGGCAACCGGGGAGGGGGGACGGCCGGGCGGGGGGACAGCCGGGGAGGGAGGGCGGCCGGGCGGGGGGACAGCCGGGGAGGGAGGGCGGCCGGGCGGGGAGGGAGGGCAGCCGGGCGGGGGGACAGCCGGGGAGGGAGGGCGGCCGGGGAGGGTGGGCGGCCGGGGAGGGAGGGCGGCCGGGCGGGGAGGGAGGGCGGCCAGGCGGGGGGACTGCCGGGGAGGGAGGGCGGCCGGGGAGGGTGGGCGGCCGGGGAGGGAGGGCAGCCGGGCGGGGGGACGGCCGGGGAGGGAGGGCGGCCGGGCTGGGGGACGGCCGGGGAGGGAGGGCGGCCAGGCGGGGGGACGGCCGGGGAGGGAGGGCGGCTGGGGAGGGTGGGCGGCCGGGCGGGGAGGGAGGGCGGCCGGGCGGGGGGACGGCCGGGGAGGGAGGGCGGCCGGGCGGGGAGGGAGGGCGGCCGGTGACTCAGGCAGCCCTGGGCCAGCAGAGCAGGTGGAGTCCAGGTGGCCGGCCGGAGGCAACGGCCGCCACGGCCCCCTCCGTTCGCTCAAGACTCGGGGTCCCCAGACCCCAGACTCTGTTAATGTCCTCACTTCACACCGGAGGGCCAGAGGAGGTGCAGACCCTCTGAGAACTGTCTTTTCTTCTTTTTTAAAAAAATATATGTTTTATTGATTTTTTTACAGAGCGGAAGAGAGCGGGATAAAGAGTTAGAAACATCGATGAGAGAGAATCATCGATCAGCTGCCTCCTGCACACCCCCTACTGGGGATGCGCCCGCAACCAAGGTACATGCCCTTGACCGGAATCGAACCCGGGACCCTTCAGTCCTCTGCCGACGCTCTGTCCACTGAGCCACACCGGTTTCGGCAGAACTTTGTCTTCTTATCATGAAACACACTGCCGAGCAGGGCTACGGCGCCCATTTTACAGACGAGGAAATCGAGGCTCCAGGAGCCTTCCTGCCTCTCCCCGGCCTGCCCGGGCCCCTCTCACACAGGCCCCGCTGTGAGCACAGGGGACCCCTCAGACCGGCGGCAGCCGCACCCCCCCCCCCCCGGGAAGGGCCCCGGCTGAGCCCCCATCTCCGTGGGCTCTGAAGGCACCTGCCTGCCCAGCCGTCCCGATCCGCCTGCCATGCCCCCCTCCCCGTGCTGCAGACACAGCGCCCGGGGCGAGCCCTCCTCCCCGGGCCGGCCCCACAGAACACCGACTCCTACAAGGCCTGTTCTCCCCCCTGAGGGCCATCGCCACCCCAAACCCCCTGCTGCCCCCGCCCCTGCCCGCTGGGCCGGCCTCGGCCCTCCCCTCTGCCGGGCCTCGGGGTGCAGGTCTGTGCTCAGAGCGGCCTGGCCTGGAGAGGCAGGCAGGCTCCCTGGTCTCTGAATCGGGCTCCCGGGCCTCAATTTCCTCGTCTGTAAAATGGGTTTTCCTGACAGGAAGACAGTCCTCGGAGGGTCTGCCCGCTCTGGCCACCGGGTGGCAGTGGGGACCAGAGCCCCACGCCCACCCCTGCAGCATCTGGGTCACCGCCCCATCTCTGGGCACCCAGCGGGCACTCGTCAACAGGACCCTGCTCCCTGCCCGCCTCACGCCGGAGCTGTCGCCGGCTTTGGCTGCATCTTCCCGCGGCCCCTCCACGCTGGTCCGGGAGCCAGGCCGGCTCCGCCCTCAGGCAGGGCTGGGCTGGGGTGAGTGTGTTCGGGCTGGGCTGAGTGTGTCCCGGGCCCTGGCTGGGGTGAGTGTGTCCCGGGCTGGGCTGAGTGTGTCCCGGGCTGGGGTGAGTGTGTCCCGGGCTGGGCTGAGTGTGTCCCGGGCTGGGGTGAGTGTGTCCCGGGCTGGGGTGAGTGTGTCCCGGGCTGGGCTGAGTGTGTCCCGGGCTGGGCTGAGTGTGTCCGGGCTGGGCTGAGTGTGTCCCGGGCCCAGGCTGGGCTGAGTGTGTCCCGGGCTGCGGTGAGTGTGTCCCGGGCTGGGGTGAGTGTGTCCCAGGCCCAGGCGGGGGTGAGTGTGTCCCGGGCCCGGGCTGGGCTGAGTGTGTCCCGGGCTGGGGTGAGTGTGTCCCGGGCTGGGCTGAGTGTGTCCCGGGCCCGGGCTGGGGTGAGTGTGTCTGTGCCTTTAATGGCCCCGGTGGGAGCTTCCGCGGCCCCAGCCACAGCCGCGCTCGCTCGTTCACTCATCCCGGCTCCCCGGAGCCCCGCCCGGCGCCCTGGCCCCTGAACAGCCTCCGCTAAGTAGGTCAAGGAGACCGCGGCGCTGGGCAGGCGCTGGGCAGCCGCCGGCTCCTTCCTTCCGAGTGCCCGGCGCCGCCCGCAGGCCTGGCCGCCTCCTCCGCGGGGACTTCGCTCTCCTCGTGTCAACGCGATTCCTCGTGTTAAAATTCAATCGCGATGCTCGCCGGCTGGCAGAACCAGACGCATCCGAACTCAGCTGCCCCCGCGCTGGGTGAGGGCTTTGCCCGCAGCTGACGGCAGCCAGCTGGCGCCTGTTAACTTTTCAACAAGGCGGGATGATGCGGGTACTGCCCCGCCCTGCCCCCTGCCACTCCCCTGGAGCCGTGCCCCTGCCCAGCGGCTGGCCCGCGTCCAGGCTGGGCCTTTTTAGCTGACAAACAGCTTGCCATCCCACTGTTAACTCTCGGTGGGCACGAGGCTGGCTCTGGGCAGGGCACTAGGCCTTGCCACCATCCATCTCCCTCCATGTCTTTATTTTTATTGCGATCAGAGAGGAAGGGAAAGGGGAGAGAGAGAGAAACATCCACGATGAGAGAGATCCATCGATCAGCTGCCTCCTGCTGGGGCCTGAGCTGCAGTCTGGGGCTGTGCCCTGACCTGGAACCCACTGGAACCTTCTGGTCTATAGGCCGGTGCTCACCCGGAGCCCGCCGGCTGGGCGTGGTGGCTTTAACGAACGTTCTTCTTTTCTGAGCTCGAAGGCCTGGAGGGCGGGGAACAGGGCCCTGGGCCCCCCGGCTGCTCCCACCGGGCCGCTGGAGCAGAATGCAGGACGGTTTGGGCGGAGGGTGCAGGGGGCCTCCCGGCTCCTGGAAGGACCCTGTCCCCGCCGTCTGTCTGCCACGGGGCCTGTGATTATCCTGTGTTTCTGTCCTGGATGCCCCTGTACCCTGGATGCAGCCCCACCTTCATTTACACAGACACACACGCATGCACGCACACACATGCACACAGGTGCACATGCACGCACCGTTTGCCTAAGTCCTTGAGGCTGGAGGAGACAAAGGGCACGTTTTCCCACAGCCCTGAGGGCCTCCCTGCCTGCATGGGCTGCACAGTCCTACCTGCTGGCCGCCTTCGGCCTATGGGTTCCACCGGCAGCCTCTTCCCCACCCTCTCTCTCCTCTGCTTCCCCCACCACAGAGGTCTGCTCTTCTGTCCCTTCTGCTGCTCTTTCTTCTGCAAAAACAGGTGTCCTCAGGGTCTCACCTTCCCCCGTGGCCTCGCCAAGGGGTTTTCCTGAGCCACGACAGCTGTATCTCTGACGGGAAGTCCGTTCTCAGCTCTTGGAGTTGTAGGTGCTACACGTGGCTGGCTGGAAAGGCACAGGCTCCATTAGGCCCCTCCTCCGGAACCCAGGCAGGCAGAAGCCGCTCCAGCCCCGCCACCCGCTGAGCCTGGTGAGCCCTGCGTGGCTCCCCCCCTCATTGCCAGGCCCAGGACTCAGCGTGGTATCACCCGGCACGCTGGGCTGGCATCTGACTAGGGTTGCACTGAATCCATCAATTCCTATGCGGAAAAATGACATCTTGGCAACAGTCTTCCAATCCATGAACACGGTATCTCTCTCCATTTATTTAGGTCTTCTTTTTAACTCTTCAGCAATGTTTCATCGTTTTTAGTGTACGTATGGATCTTGCCTTTCTGCCCGGTGCTGTTTAGTGGTATTTTCTGGTTATTACTGGCATACAGAAATACAATAGATTTTTGTATATCGACCTTGTATCCTGCAACCTTACTAAACTCCTTTATTATTTCGAGTAACATTTTAGTAGATTTTACTGGGCCAGTGGTGCAATGGATAATGCGTCTGACTACGGATCAGAACATTTCAGTAGATTTTTAAGTATTTTCTACCATTACGTCATCTGCCAATAGAGACCGTTTTGTCTTCCTTTCTAATCTGTGTGCCTTTCACTTATTTTTTTCTTGCCTTGGTTGCACTGACTGGGACCAGTGTTGGACAGAAGGGATGAAAGTGGACGTCCTAGATTCATTTATAACTGAGGGAAGCCCAGGCCTCCGCCATCAAGCACGTGCACCACCGGGTGTTCCACAGGTGGCCTCTCTCGGGCGGAGTGAGTGTTCCCAGTGCGCAGAATGCCATTTGTAAGGACTAAATGCTCTTCCTGTTGGGACGATCCCATGGCTTGTTAGCAATTATGTTTGTTTACCTTGATTTTTGAATATTAAACCAACTCCGAATTCCTGGGACAGACTCCACTTGGTCATGATGTGTTGCCCTTTTAAATATATTGTTGGATTCAATTTCCTAAATATTTATTAAGAATTTGTGTGTCTGTGTTTGCAAGTGATATTGACTTGTAGTTTCCTTTTCTTACTAGAGGCCCAGTGCATGGATGTGTGTGCAGGTGAGGTCCGGCCGGCCTGCCCCGATGGGGCCCATCGGCCTGGGCCAGCGGGGGTGGGGGGACGTGGGGGGTTAGCCAGCCACAGTGCATGTCATAGTGCCTGGTCCTTCCGGTCAACCCAGCGTTTCGGCTGCTTGGCTTTTATAAACATAGATGTGTGTGTTTTCTGATTTTGATATCAGAGTAATGCTGCCCTCACAGTATGAATTTAGAGGTGTTCTCTCTTTTTCGATTTTACGGAGGATTTTGAGTAGAACTGGTAGTATTTCTTGCTTAAATGTTTGGCAGAATTAACCAGTGAAACCACTAACGAAAAAGACCTGGGATTTTCTCTGTGGGAAGCCTTAAGCCATAAGTTCACTTTCTTTAATAGATGCAGGTCTAGCTTTGTTATCTATTTCTTCCTGAGTGAGCTTTGGTAGTTTGTATCCTTCAAGAAACGTGTTGATTTCATCTAAGTTGTCTGATTTATATATATATAAAAACCCAGCAATCGTAGACTGTAACACCGGTCACTATGACACCCACAGTGGCCAGCGAACCGGCCTGATCAGGGCCTGGGGCCAACCGGCACCTCGCAGCCCCTCCCGCTGCCGGCCTGCCCTCACTGGACTCTCCCCCGGATCAAGAGTGGGGTGAGCCGGCCAAACCCCCCTCCCTTCCCCCTGGCCAACCCGCCCCCGATCAGCCCACCCACCATGATAGGCCCACAGCCCCCAGCTGGCCCGCCCCTGATTGCACCCCCCTACCCCAATAGGGGGCAGAGCTGGCCGGCCAACCTCCTATAGCTCCTCCCCCCAGCTGGCCATGCCCCCAATGGGCCCCCACCACCCTGATTGGCCTGCAGCCACCCCCGTAGCCAGCCTCACCCCTGATTGCCACCCCACCTCAATAGGGGGCGGGACCAGGCAGCCAACCACCATGGCCCCTGCCCCAGGTCACTGGCCCCCAATTGACCCCCCACCCCAATCGGGGGTGGGCTGGCCAGCCAACCTCCTGCCATCTTCTCCTCCTGACAGGCCAGCCCCGATCCTCCCTGACTGGGGCCGAGCTGGCCAGACCCCACCTGTGCACAAATTCGTGCACTGGGCCTCTAAGCTGGTAATAAAATATTGCTCATACTATTCCTTATCGTGTTAATGTCTGTAGGATTTGTACTGATGCTTCCTCTTTCATTTCTGATATTGGTAATGTGTATCTTTTCTCTTCTTTTCCAAATCAGTGATTAGAGGTGATAGATTCGGTTCTATTTCTTGAGTTTGTACTATTTATTATTTCCTGTCTCTGACTTAGTTTAGGTGTAATTTGCTTTTTTTCCTCATGTATTAGAGATTTCTCCCTTTTTAATGTAGGCAGTTAATGATATAAATTTTACTCTGCTCCCTGCTTTAACTTCATCCTACAATTTTTGATATGTCATTTAAAACTTTAAACCAGTTCAGAATATTTTCTAACTTCCTTTGTGACGCTTTCTCTGACCTGTGGGTCATTTAGAAATGTGCTGCTTAGTTTGAGGAGATTTTTAGATTTCTCTCTGTTACTGGTGTCTAGTTTAATTCCATGATGATCCAAGAACAGACGACGTGTCAGCTAAGTCACTGAGAATTTATTGCGTGTGACGGGAGCCTGGGGAGGCGTGATTGTGGCCACAGGCACAGGGTTCTGGGCAGCAGGGGATTTGACAGGAGTGGGTCTGATCGCTCCGAGTGCAGCGAGGTGACAGGGAGCTCGGGAACGCCCGGACGGGGGCCTGGGCCCGAGGTCCCCTAGTTGGCCAAGGAGAGCAGACAGTTGTGTGCAGAGCCCGCTCTCCGGGAAGCTTCTGCCTGTGACGCGGCTCAGATAACGGGGCAGAGGGTGCAGGTGAGGAAGCAGCTCGGTGTCCGGAGGGCCCTGGGCTGGGAGCCGGCCAGGGTTCACCGTCACCCCATCGCCCTGGGCTGTCTCCTCGCCTCCCACGTAGGCGGTCAGCGCCCGGGCCGCAGCCCGCACAGGGGGTCTGTGCGGAATTAATTTCGTGCTCTGTGACATCGGGGGACCAGGAGGCTCTCGGAGGCCTGGCCTCCAGGCTGCCGATTGGCTCCCCCTCTGACGGGAGACAGGCCCTCTGTGTGCGTCTCTGGCCACGGGCTCGGACGGCCCACTCGGGGAGTGGGGTGGGGGTGGGGTGGGGTGGGGTAGGGTGAGGTGAGGATAGGGGTGGAGGGTGGGGGCCGGGGGAGTGGGATGGGGTGGGGTGGGGTGGGGTGAGGATAGGGGTGGAGGGTGGGGGCGGGGGAGTGGGATGGGGGTGGGGTGGGGTGGGGTGAGGATAGGGGTGGAGGGTGGGGGTGGGGGAGTGGGATGGGGGTGGGGTGGGGTGGGGTGAGGATAGGGGTGGAGGGTGGGGGCGGTGGAGTGGGATGGGGGTGGGGGTGGGGTGGGGTGAGGATAGGGGTGGAGGGTGGGGGTGGGGGAGTGGGATGGGGGTGGGGTGGGGTGGGGTGAGGATAGGGGTGGAGGGTGGGGGCGGGGGAGTGGGATGGGGGTGGGGGTGGGGTGGGGTGAGGATAGGGGTGTAGGGTGGGGGCCGGGGGAGTGGGGTGGGGGTGGGGTGGGGTGGGGTGAGGATAGGGGTGGAGGGTGGGGGGGGGGCGGGGGAGTGGGATGGGGGTGGGGGGGGGGTGGGGTGAGGATAGGGGTGGAGGGTGGGGGCGGGGGAGTGGGATGGGGGTGGGGGTGGGTGGGGTGAGGATAGGGGTGGAGGGTGGGGGCGGGGGAGTGGGTGGGGGTGGGGTGGGGTGGGGTGAGGATAGGGGTGGAGGTGGGGGCGGGGGAGTGGGGTGGGGGGGGGTTAGGGTGGGGTAAGGATAGGGGTGGAGGGTGGGGGCGGGGGAGTGGGATGGGGGTGGGGTGGGGTGGGGTGAGGATAGGGGTGGAGGGGGGCGGGGGAGTGGGGATGGGGTGGGGGTGGGGGGTCGGAGTGGGAGGAGGCCTGGCGGGGGGCCCAGTCTCTCCTTACCCCCAGGCGGCAGGGGCCCAGCTCACAGGCCCGCAGCACTATTTTGGGAGCTTCTACTTGAGGCTCAGGTTGCCGTATTTAGATGCAGCTCCCAGGCGGGGGGTGGGGGCAGACCATGGCCACCAGCTCGCGGCCGTGGAGCCCTCTGTGGGACGCGGGGCGGGCGGGCGTGCAGGGCAGGGGAGGGTGGACGCACGCCCTGGCCCAGCGGCCAGGCGGGCGCTGGGGCTGCTGTGCACCCGGCTGTGCGCTCACCACTCTGCTCCCCCCTCACCACTCGCTGCAGGAGAGACCCGCGGTGCTGATCCCCCGCGAGAACCAGGCTCAGAGCCGCAGGCGGCGCGCCCGAGGTCACACAGGGGTCCTCGCCAGGTTGGCTCCGTGGACACAGCGTCGATCTACGGACGGAAGGTCCCAGGTTCGATTCCGGCCAAGGCCACGTGCTCCCGTGGCAGGCTCCATTCTCGGCCCTGGTGGGGGCGTGTGCGGAGGCACCCGTCGATGAGTGCCTCCCATCGATGTGTCTGCCTCTCCCTCTCCCTTCCACGCTCTAAACGTCAATGGGAAAATATCCTCGGGTAAGGACTGACAAGATCAACAAGTAAAATAAAGCCTGAAAAATGAACTGAAATGAAATGAAATGAAATAAAACAAAGCCTGCTCTCCCCGGCCCCGGGCCAGCGACGAGCCAGACCTCAGCGTGGGCTGGGATTCGGGGTCTGGGTCAGAGGAGGGCAGCCAGCGCCCAGGACGTGCGAGGAGCCGGCGGTCAGAGCCGGCGGTCAGTCCCGGCGCGGCCGAGTGTGGGCGGGGGACCCTGAGCTCCAGGAGCCCCCAGAGGACGCGGGGCCCCCACGACGGCATCACAGGAGCCGGGAGTCGGGGTTCCAGGCCCGATGCACAGCGGGCTGCCTCCTCCCCTGCTCTCCGGGCAGGAACTCACTGCACGTTTCAAAACAGCAAACAGAGCCGAAACCGGTGTGGCTCAGCGGTAGAGCGTCAGTCTGCGGACTGAAAGGTCCCGGGTTCGATTCCGGTCAAGGGCATGTACCTTGGTTGCGGGCACATCCCCGGTAGGGGGTGTGCAGGAGGCAGCTGGTCGATGATTCTCTCTCATTGATGTTTCTAACTCTTTATCTCTCTCTTCCTCTCTGTAAAAAAAATCAATAAAATATATTTAAAAAAAGAATGAACCAATAAATAAATTAATTAATTAATAATAAATAAATAAATAATAAAACAGCAAACAGAGCCGAAACCGGTTTGGCTCAGGCCTGCGGACTGAAAGGTCCCAGGTTCGATTCCGGTCAAGGGCATGTACCTTGGTTGCGGGCACATCCCCGGTAGGGGGTGTGCAGGAGGCAGCTGGTCGATGTTTCTCTCTCATTGGCATTTCTAGCTCTCCCTTCCTCTCTGTGAAAAATCGATAAAATGTAAAAATAAATAAATGAAACGGCGGAGAGAGGGGCCACCCGCACTGCAGCCCCGGGGCCTTGGGCGTAGCCGGAGCCGGGAGCGGCCGCGGCAGCGCTTCCCGGACAGGACTGTGCTCTCCGATGTGTGTGCGGCCGCCCCCGGGCCAGTGGGAACTTCCCCTCGCTGGCCCGTCTCCGGCCGGGGAGAGGACCCGCTGCCTGTGGCTGCCCCTCGCTGCGCCTGGACCGGCGACCACAGGATGCCGGCCAGACGCAGTGCCCGCCCAGGAATCTGCATTCACCGCCAGCCCCCAGGGTCCCGCTGCCCCGGCCCCGCCTCCTGCAGGACCGCTGGGCTGGAGGAGGCTGCTGAGCCCCAGGCACCCGAGAGCCCTCTGGCTTCCTTCTCCTCCCACGTGTTTTAAACGGTTCTCTCCCCTGCCCTGTGCCTCCTGGACTCCCTGGGCTTTGCTCATGCAGAAGGTCAAACCTCCCGGATTTGACAGGAGGCGCCAGGAGTCTCCAGCACACTCTCTGCTTCCAGGCCAAGGAGTCTTTCATTTGTATTTTCTGTTTTTCTGCAGCCGCTGGGGGCAGGGCTTCCTACAGCCGCCGCGCCACCTGGTGGTCACACCCGGCACTGCAGCATTTCCAGCGGCAGCACCCGCTCCCCCTTGCCTAGGTGCCCATCCCCCAGGGCTCCCAGGCCCTCGGAGGGAGAAGAGGGTGCGGGGAGGGGAGGGGCGGCGGGAGGCAGGCAGCCTCAGATAATAGCCGCCAAGTCCTCCAAGTGTCTCATCGAATTAATTGGTGTAAATTGAACCCTTGGTTCTCGTTGAACTATAATTGCCGTTGGGGCTGATTTTCCCAGCCAAGGGCTCCGTCAATTAAAGCCAAGGCCAAGCTCCGCTGCCAAGTGACCTTCGGCCGTTCGCCTCCCTCCGGAGACGCTGAGCTCCCGCCCGGTGTTCTCTCTGTTTCTTCCCCGGTGAAGTCGGAGCACCTAGGACCCGCGGGCTCAGGGCCGCCCGGCCTGCGCTCCTGAAGAACCTGGGTTGGGAGAAAGGGGGGTCTTCACAGGTCAGGGTGGGAGGGAGCTGTGCGGGGCCTGGAGTCCTGACCTGCGGAACAGAACCGCTGAGCCGCCGGAGAGTCGCAGGGACAGTGGCCTTAAACCGTTACCGTCTTGTTTATAGAGCAGGCTCGCCCTCAGGGTAGGAGGTGTCGCTGAATCACAACAGGAACAAACCGGGTCTCACCATCCCAGGCCTGGCGTCCTCCCCAGGGGCATACTTCGGGGACCCCCTGCCCCCCAGTAACACCACGAGATTAAGGCCCTCTGTCCTCCCTCTGGAGTTCTCCACAGTCACTGCCCGGCGGTCGCCTAGGCCCCCCAGGCCTGGCACATCATAAAGCCTCACCTTTGCAGCCCCCCCTGGTGTCTTTTGGGGGGACGGGGGGAGGGCACCCTCTCAGCTCAGCTCCCCTGTTCTCTCCTGCGGCACACACACTGGGAGAGCCACGGACGCGTGTCAGCCACGGAAGGAAGCCCTTCTCCGAGGGTGTGCAAGAGGCAGCTGATGGATGATTCTCTCTCATCGATGTTTCTAACTCTCTATCCCTCTCTCTTCCTCTCTGTGAAAAATCAATAAAATATATTTTTTTAAAAAGCTGGAAATATAGTTTTTCACTTTGTCTTCAGATTTTGTGAGCGTGTTGTTGCTGTTTTCGGTAGAATTTTCTGGGTGTGATCGGATTTCCAGTCTTGTCTTCGTTGGCTTTGGACTCTGTGTCATAGTCAGGATGGCTTTTCTCCTCTCTGCGATGAAGGGTTCTCCCACCATGTTCTTCTTTAACCAGGAATGTTGTCACCTGCCTTTCGTGCCTGGTTAAATCTGCCCAGGACTCAGACCACACACCAGGACACAGCGGGCACAGCTGCATGCGAGCTTGGGCAGGACCGAGAGAGGGCCTGTGGCCGAGGGTAGAGTGGAGGAGGTGGGGCAGGTGTTTGAGGAGGTGGGACAGTGTGTGCAAAGGTCCTGGGGCTGCGAGAAGAGGGGCTGAGCCTCGGAAGAACGTGTGGGGACGGGCAGGAAGGGCGCGGAGCGTGGAGGAGGGTGAGCAAGCAGCAGCGTCATGCTCCCACGTTTGCACGTTCTTCTTGGTGTGGAGACGGAGTGGGGCCAGAAAGGGCCGCAAAGAGGGAAACAGGAGAAGGTGCCACAGAATGACCGGGGAGGCCCTCCATGTCCCCGTGGGCTGTCCTGGAGCTCGGGGTGTCAGAGCGTGTCCGGCCGGAAGCGTCTCTGGGGCAGCCTGCCCCGGCGCAGAGGCCGGGCCGGGCCTCAGGGTTAACGGTGAAGCCTGCTAACCCTGAGGGCCCGTGCGGCTCCCTGGCTGGCGGCGTCCAGCTCGGTCCCCGGAAGCCACGCCGGCCTGGCCCTGAGCCGGTCACGAGCTGCCTGCACCGGAGCGAGACTGCAGCTGCGGGAGCCTCTGCCGTGACCGCGCGGGACCCTGGCAAACGCCGCTGAGCGGTTCGGCCCGAGAGAACCCAGGGCCCCTGACCTGCCAGTGCGCCCCTCCGCACACAGGCCTGGTTCACGCTGGCACCACGGTGCTGGGACGGCCACAGGACCGGTCTGACCCAGGGCCGCCCCCCCCAGATCAAAGCCAGCCCCCAAGTTTTGAAAACACTCACCCTGCCCTAGCCCCACGCTGACGGTGCTGCCCGCTCCGCTCTCCCTCGGCCAGCCTGGGCCCTGGCCAGGCAGGTGCGGGCAGCAGGGGCCTGTGTGGCCCGGGCGGGGCTGGTCTGTGCCGGCGGGGCCCTCAGGAGCCCCAGCAGCAGAGGGAGGCGGCGGCTCTGGCTACCCCCTCCCCTTGCTGCCCAAGGTGTGGTCCATGGCCAGCAGCATCCGGGAGCTTGCTGACGGGCAGGGCCTTGGGCCGGCCCAGACCTCCTGTGTCTGTCTGCGGGCACCGAGAGCCCCACATTTGCGGGCCCCTTCAAGTTCAAGGTCCCGGCCCGGCCACCTCCTCCACAGCCACCGCTGTGCAGCCCCTCGCCCTCCTCGGGGTGCCCCCCAGGCTGTGTCCTCACTGACACCACAGCCTCCTCACCAGCCTGAGTCCCTCCCCTGGGACTCCAGAGCAGGAAGGTGCAGCGGGTCCGGGAGGCCAGGCCGCCCCCAGGAGTGGGGAGCGGGAGGCGGGGGGGTGGGGGACGCTGCTGAGCGGAGGCGGGGGAGGGGGACGCTGCTGGGCTGGAGCAGGGAGGGGGACGCTGCTGAGCGGTGGCGGGGGGGGGGGGGGGGGGGGACCGCTGCTGGGCGGGAGGCGGGGGGAGGGGGACGCTGCTGGGGCGGGAGGCAGGGGGGGGGACGCTGCTGGGCGGGAGGCAGGGGGGGGGACGCTGCTGGGCGGGAGGCAGGGGGGGGGACGCTGCTGGGCGGGAGGCGGGGGGGGGACGCTGCTGGGCGGGAGGGCGGGGGAGGGGGACGCTGCTGGGCGGGAGGCGGGGGGGGGACGCTGCTGGGCGGGAGGCGGGGGGGGGACGCTGCTGGGCGGGAGGCAGCGGGGGGACGCTGCTGGGCGGGAGGCGGGGGGGGGGGGGACGCTGCCTCCGCCAGCCGAGCCGGAGCCGCGCCGGGCCGGCCGCAGACAGACGCCAGGCCAGGTGCTCCCCCCTGTCCCGCACCCACACGCTCCTCCTGAGTCTCCGCAGCCCCTTTGTGTTGGACACGTGTTGGACAGAGCCCTGAGGCCGTGATTTCTGCTAAAAGCCAGGGGGCCGGGACATCAGGGAGGAGCCGCCCTCCCTGTGGGCCCGGGCGTCCTGGGGGGAGCGGCTGCTGGTCCGGCCTCGGAGCAGCCAGGTCTCAGTCCGGAGCCCCCTCTGCCGGCCGGGCCGGGGCCTCCGCTGGCCGCCCGCCTGTCAGCCCCGGGCCTGCTGCCGGGCCCGGCCTGCCACCCCATCCGGTGAGGAGGTGAGCAGCGCGGTCCCAGCGCCGGAGGAAGCCGGCGCCCAGGCCTTTCACGTCCTGTCAGGAGCTGTGACACCCGCAGGGCTGCGGTGGGAGGGCCCTGCAGCCCCGAGGGGGGCCGCGCTCAGCTCCTGCAGCGGTGCCTTGGAGATGAAGAGGGAAGAGGAGGCTGACACCTCCCGGGCCCCGCCTGGTGCCTGTCCGGAGGCCGGCGGAGGCCGGCGGAGCCGGGGCTGCCTCCCGCCGCCGCTGCTGCTGCTGCTGCGATGGTGACAGCGTGGGGCGAGGACGCACTGTCCTCCTGAAGCCTCGGGCCTGCACGCTCGTCTCCCTGGCCGAAGTGAAGGCGACACGGGACGGCTCCCTCCCGGCTCCTCGCTTTCCATCCCGGGCCTGTGCCCCCCGCTCCCGGGCACCCTGCTGCCTGCCGCCTTCTTCCGTCAGTTCTCCCCCTGCCTCTCTCCAAAGGACACTTGTGAGCACGTTCAGGGCCCCTGGGGATGATCCAGGATAAGCTCCCTTAATCTCCAGGACCTTCCCTCAATCACGTCTGCGAAGGTGTCTGCTCAGGTTCCGGGGCTGGGG